GCTGAACCACAGCTCTTCCTTTTCCAGGGGAAAAGCCCATGAGCAGAAGGGGACTTTTTAGGCATCTCTTTGGAGCTACACAACAGGTTCTGTTCCTTTCTCAGAACCACAGGCTTTCAAGGAATCTCTTCAAGGCCTGATCATTTTAATCACTTGTGAGCTCCACACCTTGTAGATAGAGTCCTCATTAAGATCCAGTCAGCAAGCTCAAGACCTGGGTGTCTTGCAGAGGTGGTGTTGCACAACGGCAAAAAAGACACCTGAGCTGTGTCAAACAAGCAGCGGAGATGGAAGACCCTGGGGCTCCAGCTGTTCCAGATGTGGACTTTGCAAGCAGAGTCTTTCTGAGCAGGTACAAGGCCAGGTCTGACTTTGTAGGGGTGAGGTGAACAGACTAGTTAGGTCTGAACTCATCCCACCAAACCTGGCATCCAAGCATGTGTCTATGATAGCAATTGGTGTCATTCTAGACTCTTCAATTGGCCAGAAGATGTGGTCATTTTCTGAAGTCCAGCTAACACATGATTAACCCATGGGAGTTCCTACCTCTCCATCCCTAAACTGAAAGAGGGAAGGTACCTGTGCTCTTCTGCTGTTTTCAACATGATCCTTTGCCTTCACAGACTCTGACACTCTCTGATCTCAAGCCGAAGAGGGGACCAGTGTCAGGTGGCACCCAGGTGACAATTACAGGCAACAACCTTAATGCTGGCAGCAATGTCATCGTGACCTTTGGGCGACAACCCTGCCTCTTCTACAGGTACAGATGAGTCCTTCCTACTCTACGTGCCCGAGTCTGAAAGATGTGAGCAATTATTGTCTACCAAGAGAGGTGTCTTCTGTAGCCCAGACACTTTCTTCACAGAAAGGGTTATCAAGCACAGGAACAGGCTGCCCAGGGAAGTGGTGGAGTCAACATCCTTGGATGTGTCTAAAATTCGTGTAGATATGGTGCTTGGGGACATGGTTTAGCAGTGGACTTGGTAGAGTTAAGTTAATGGTTGGATTTGATGATCTTAAAGGTCTTTTCCAACCCAAACCATTCTAGGATTCCATGACACCTGATTGCTCATGTGCCTCTTTTTCCTGTGGCCACCTCTATTCTGCAATGGGCTTTTTATGTTCTGCATCACACACAACCTTATTGTGCATGTTTTGGGATGGCAGAATAGGATTTCGTTCGTTCTTTTGATTGATATTTTATGTGCTTTTTTGCATGGATCTCTGTCAAATTTCACTACAATTCTCCATGGTCCCATGTTTTGCTGCTTGCTCTGGGAGCATGTCATTTAAAAGATTCATTTTCACGTCCCTGAGTTAGCAGAGGTGGCAAAGAAAATCTGACAACATCATTTCTGAGCATTAAAACACTTCCCTTTTATCCCAGAGTAGTCCTGTAGTGCTAAGATAGGGATGATTTGCAGCATTTCAGCTCTGAGTTGGCTTCTGATCAATTGCAGTTCAGAGAGGCTTAATGTCAGTGTTACCTGCTGAATGTTCCCTGATCCCTGTGGGAATGAGCCTGAATCCCATTCCCAGGGGCTCCCACAGCTCAAAACTACCCAGTGCAACACATTTTACTGCCAATATTAGTGGAGGCTGAAAATGAAGTTGTCACATTTCTCCCAGTGTGTTCTTGGAAGAAGAAGGGGTTGTTTACAGGAGACCTGTCTTGGGGCAGTGCCCTTCCCTCTCCTGGTGGTGGGGATCCTGTTTAGCTGCCTTTCCTGCCCATGGTGTGATTCAATGTCTGTGATTCAGCTTCTTTCATTCAGGAGGGTGAAGTCACAGCTTGTGATTTAAAAGGCCAAGTGGGAGCCACAGCTGCTTGGAGATGTTTAATGAAGAGGCTGGGGAGTTGTAGGAGGGGCTGAGGATGGTCTTTCAGGGGGATTCAGAGAGGACCTGGTGGTTGCAGGCAGTGAAGGGGAGTGCCATGCTGCAAGGGAAGGATGAAGCCTGCTTGGTCTAAGATAAGGCTGAATCACAAATCACAAGACTGGGAGACTCAGGATGTTTAGAGCCTAGATTTTTTGGCTCCTTATGGGAAGGTAAGACCCACTGGAAAATTCAGACCTGGAGCTGGTTTTGAGTCCTGCCCAAAAGGAAAGGTTTCTGCAGAATAGTCTTTGAGTACAACCATAAAATGCTTCTCACTATATTAGCACCTTCCATGCAAAGGTCTCAGGCTTGTTGCAAATTGCACTTAAACAAGGCTTAACAGCCCTAGTGCAAAGTAAACTTTATTATCCCAGACTGGAAAGCTGAGGTGCAAACACCCCTTTTTATGAGCTGCTGCAGCATATGGTCTGCATGTGATTAAATGGATTTAATCACACAGAAATACTTCTGGAAAGAGGTCTGGTTTTGGACTTGGGGTTCAGGTCTCACTCTGAGACTTGAGAAACGATGGCTACTGTGGTTTTATTAAAGGCAATGTCACTTCCTCAGGTAAATGTGTCCTATTATTCAGCATATTCCTGTACCAGTGAGTTTCAGCATTTCACAGTGCATAGGTTAAGGTCACAGGACATAAGAGGAGATTGCTGGGCTCTTTTTGGCACCATTTGTTTTGCTGCTGGTAACACCTGGTTTACAGTTACATGCTTCTCTCACAGGAGATCCACCAAGCACATTGTCTGTAACACCACTGCCTCAGATGAAGGTTTTGAGAAGGTGAAGGTGTCTGTAAGAGTGGACAAGGCCAAGATACATCAGGAATTGCAGTATGAATATGTAGAGGATCCAACCATCCTGAGGATCGAGCCTGAGTGGAGCATCTTCAGGTAAGTGTCCCATGGACAACTTCTTCCACCTCCCAGGGTTTTGTAAAGCAGCACTAGTGTGTTCATGTTGGTCCTTGATACAGGAAAGGGTTTTCCATGCATTGAGTTCACTAAGAAACAGATTTGTGCAGAGCTGTTTCCCAGAGCCCAAGACTATGAGGGCTGGTGCTCTTTCCACAGGAAAGACTAAAGGCCAAGCATGAATTGTGTATTTGTTGTAACACTTTGGATGCTCAGTGTGTGTCTGTGCTTCATGCTTTAATTACAAAGGTAGGTGCAGCAAGTCTCCAACCTAGTGTTGAAGCTTTCTCCCTCTACTGAAACCCACTCTTCATCTCCAGCATCAGGATGGTCCCTGTTTGAGTAATGTTACAGGTCACTGGGGCTGATTAAACTATGCAGTTGTATCCTGAAAAGTTGCAATTCCTACTGTTTTTGGTTGTGACTGTTTTGGACCCCACTGGGCTGTGTTCACAGCTTTACATGGGAGCAGGACTAGTCACTGATCTCTTGAAACCAGGCAAAAATACCATAACTGTGCTTAGAGAAGTGAATCTCCCCTGGGTTCTTGCCTTTCCCGCAGCCTTCATGGATGGGCTGGGTTAGGAATAAACATCTTCAGCCATCATGCCTGAAAGCCCCAAGGGCTGTCTCCTGAGATGAAGCACAAAAGGAGCCTTGGTCCCTGTCCTATCAAACAACCTTCCTCCTTGTTAGACATTCTTTTTTCTCTTCACCCCTTTGATGTTCCTTTAGTCAATTCAGAGATTTCACATGCCCTGGTTGTGGAAAGCATCCAAACTCACAACTCTCACTGAAATGCTTTCAGAAACCTGCAGAAATGGCCTCAGAAAGAGAAAAAATGGTCATTAAATGCACTGGAATTTCCTTGAAAAGATATAAAATAAGAAATCGCAGTCTCCTCTCATTCATCCACGACAGCTCTCTGCTTCCCTGTCAAACTGGACTGATTGGAGTGTCTGGGGATTAGGAGCAGGGCTTGTAAATCCCCCAGTTCAGCTCCCAACCAGAAGATGTTTTCACAAATCAATTAGTGCCTTTAATTACCATGAGGGAATTTACTGATTTAGCCGGATTGAATCTTTGCACTTTAGGCTTGAATTTTAGTGTCTGGATTTTCCGTTTGGGGGTTTGATATTCAGTCAGAGCTCAGCTTATCAGTGAAATAAGAAATCACTTTACTTTTTTTCCTTTTTAAAGTGAGTTCAGTGTCAGTTAAATGGTGCAAGATTGACAGTTTAGGAGAGTGAATTCCCTAATATCCCCAGGAAAGCTGCAGCATGGGGACTTCCTTCTACCTGGCCTCAGGTCTTGGCTGGGAGGGGAGTTCTCCAGAGCCTGTTTGCTCCTTGTTTTCTATGATCAACCTGCCAGCAAGTGATAAAGCAGCAGCCAAGGAGTTGCTTTAGGTGTATTGGCAAAGTTTTGCCCAGCCTGGGGATGAGAGACTCCCCATCCCATTGTTTACTGCCTTGGATCTCCCATCCCACCTCCCAGCATAATGGAGATTAAGAAGAGGGGCTTGTTTAGTGCTTGCCAGCTTAGTTGCAGGGTGTGTAGCAGCTGGGATGGATGCCAGGGACTCTACTTGTCTCATCATTCGGGTGCAACCTGTACCTTTTCCTCTCTTCAGTGTCTCTGAAATCAGAAAGCAACCACTTGAGCATTAACAGATGCCCAATTTTCATCAGACCTACTTGCTTTCATCCTCTTTCTTGTGTACTTATTCAAAGGTGCATAATCCTGGAGGAGGGTGCAGAGGGAGAAGATGCAATATTCAGGATTACCACTGTGGTTCAGGGTGTCTGGGACAGTTTTAAGCACTACAAATGTTAATTGTGGAGCTGTTTCCAGCAGGTTATAACAGAGAGAAGCATTAGAATAAAGCCTCCACAGAGACCCGGGTGCAGCCAACTCCAGTCCTGAGAATCAAGCAAGAAATGTCAGTCAAGATACATGGATCTTGAGATAGATTGAGGCTGCTCCTCAATGTTCGTTATATTGTGGGATTCATTGCAGCAAATCCACTGTGCTTCTGATTCCTCACTCCTGACTGTGGGGCTAAGTTGTTTGGAGAGAGAGGTGATTGCTATCAAACCAGCTTTGCAAAATTAGTGAATTAATATACCAAGCCTGGCTTAAAACCTTCTCAAGTGCCATTTTCCAAGACAATAAAGAAAAGATTACTGCTAATTTACTCCCATAGCCAAAAAATAATAATAAAAAAAGAAGGAGTCATGCTGGGCTGGCAAGTAACTAGAATTTTATGAGGCGTCATTAATACTTTTGATCTGGGTTTGATTTGAGTTACATCCAGGAATTTTCTGAGTCAGCAGACAGAAAAGGATTCTCACAGCTTTTGGGAAAGGCAAGAGTGAAATTGAGAAAACTGGTAGTCTTGGCACCTCTGGTACTTTGCTGGGCAGCAGGGTGACTCTGAGCTCTCATCTGATCTGGGTGAGAAGTGGCCATGACCACCATTAGCTTCCAGACACAAAAGGCAGGTGGTTTTCATGCAAAAGCAAACAACAGTTTTATTTACTTGATTTGCAAGCTGGGAGTGGGTTAGGGGATGATTTCATGTCCTCAGCAAACACGACTACTTGGGCTTTTTTTGATTTTTCAGAGAAATGACCCCTCTCTGATCTGGTGCTTAGTAACTGTGGCCTGAGCCTGCAAGCTCAGTTTCCTAACCAAACACAGAATATTTAACATGTGGGTTTAAAACTGTGTGCACAGACTTGACTGATTAAATAAAAAGATTTATGCATATATAGACACACTTGTATGTCTGTACACAGGCACACATATTTGATACCACTGGAACACATAAAACTTTCAGCTGAGTAAAGATACAAAATCTCTTCTAGTTTGAATCAGCAGAGATTCATAATAATATTAAATAATAATAAAAATTAGAAAGGCTCACAGCCAAAAATCCAGAAGAACCAGATCTGTGGAGAAAGAACAATTTAGTTTACACACTTCTCTTCTGGTTTTTGGTGAGTGAGCTCTCTCTGGGTGATATCAGGAATACTTCATGTGATACTGAATTTTGGGGAGAGAGTATTTTTTCTGTAAGGCAAGGAGGGGGAGCTCTCTTGTAAGTGGATGTATGACTTCAGAAGTGAGCCTCTGTGCATTCAAGAGAACTCAACTATCCAAGCAGAACTTATGGAAATGGCAAAATGTGCCTTTGCCCCATAAAATTTCACATTAGAAATTTCCCATCACAACTGATGGTTTCAGAGAACAAGAACTCGAGGTACTTTGCAAAACTCAAGGTCAGTGTTTTCCTAACTATGGAACAGTCTGTACTGGTACTTATTGAAGGAAAGACCATAAGGAACTTTCAGAGAAGTGTCACAGAAGCACCTTCCAAAAGATATGGTTGTAACAATGTTCTTTAGCAGAGCTCAATGCTCATGACTCCATATGTGCAGGTTTCTTGGTTACACAGGCTGGGTTTAAACTAGTAAGTATTTAATCCAGGTTTCCTCTTTGGTCCTGAAACCAGTGATCATGCATAACCCTCATCCACACCACCACCAATGATCTTTGCTCCTTCATAGGAAATTTAGTTTCCTCTATCCTGCTTGTTGGGAGCATTTCCTGGCCCTTGTTATCCCTTGAACCATGACCAAGCTTTGCCTGGGGTTCTGTTAGCAGCTTAGCAGCATCTATGGTCACCAGGCAGTGCCTGAGCTGGTGTCCTGGCCCTTGGGTTTATCATTGTGGTGTAACTAGAGGGACTGAAGCACAGTCTGAGCTGACTGTGTCCAGCTGACAGAAACCTGATAGCTACATTGCTGAGCAGAGATGTGTATGTGCTTTCATTCCCACCTGCCTCTTCTGATTAATGATGGGAGATAAATGAGAAACATGGAAAACAAAGGTCAGAACCGGGGGGGATCAGTCGGCCAATACAGGCTTCTTACGGTGTGTTTATTCTGTGGTGTTTTCTCATTTATAATGCACATGTTTCTTTCATGTATGTGTAGGTTTATCTGGAGGCAGGAAAGGGATCCTGAGCTTTTTTTTTTCCAATCCCACTCATTTCCACATGGCCTGCCCTCCCCTTCTCAGCAGAGCACTCCAGGAAATCAACTGCAGGCTGGATAGTTTCCAAGGGGAGATCCAGAGGCAGGTGCTGAAGCTGAGAATACCCCTCACCCTGGGAATACCCCTCATCCTGCCCTGGCTGTGTGAGCCCTGACAGCTGAGGGGTTTGCTTTCTTGGATAAGTCTTTCACTTCAGCCCTTGCATCCTGTTGCCTCTGCCACAGTTCTACAAAAGGAGAGCTCATCCTGGAAAAGAAATGCTGTTCCAACCCCAAACTGGGGACCGTTGCCTATGGTGAACCCTTCCTCTCAACAAGAGGGTTAAAACCAATGAACACATCAGTTCCTACTGAAGCCTGGGAATGATTCTTTGCAGTTTCCTTCCTCCCTCCCTTTTGCTCCCTGCAGCTGGAAGAGGCAAAGGAAAGGAAAGGAGGGTGTTCCTGAAAGCCCTTGCATCCTGTTGCCTCTGCCACAGTTCTGCAAAAGGAGAGCTCACCCTGGAAAAGAAATGCTGTACCAATCCCAAACTGGGGATCATTGCCTATGGTGAACCCTTCCTCTCAACAGGAGGGTCAAAACCAATGAACATATCAGCTCCTACCGAAGCCTGGGAATGATCCTTTGCAGTTTCCTTCCTCCCTCCCTTTTGTTCTCTGCAGCTGGAAGAGGCAAAGGAAAGGAGGGTGTTTCTGAAATCTGTTTCCTTCTAGTGGCAGTGATTAAGGAAACAAGAAGGGCTCCATCTACATCTCCCCATCTTAAAATGGGCTTACAGAGATGTTATAGAAAGTGAGAAAGTTTACCAAAGGCAGGGCCATGGTTTGTATGGATTGTCCTCAGTCTTTGCCTGGGCAAAGGGACACATAGACTGGAAATCCCTGTTCTGTCACATGTTGGATCTAACAGACATGGCAGAACTTACCTGCCTGGATCACCAGATGGAAACCAAGCAAACACCTTATACAGAGCAAGGCTGATGACTTTGGCTTTGTGTCCTCTTGATGCTGCAGGACCAGGTTCCTTGCAGCACTGAAGTGTGTTCACTGAGCTGACATAATCTTTTCCAGGATGGAGTTTTTATAGCAGGTTTAACATGCAAGAAGGGACTACAGTCCTCAGTCAAGTTAGCACTGAATCCTCAGCAGCTGCTTGCACAGACACTATCTGTGAGGCTTTTTGGGCTCCTTTTCTTAAGTGATAGAAGACATATAGTCTGTGGACCATTCTGAAGAGCCTCACTCTTCTCATTACCAAAGCTTGTGATTGCTAAGTCCCAACAATGGAAAACACCCAGATGCTGCTTGATGTGTCAGTTTTATCAAGCATGTGTTTTTTAAAATCATTATTATTCCTCCCCTTATGAATAAAAAAATATTATTTATTTTTTCCTTCCCTTCTGACAAGACTGTGAGATATGCTCAGACACTCTTCTGATCACATTTATGAGTACAGATTACCCATAGCTGATGCAATCAGTCCTGATATCTCTTAGCTATCTTCATGCACTTCTTTCATCTCCTCTTCTCCAGTGGCAACACACCCATTGCAGTGTGGGGAACCCACCTAGACCTGATCCAAAACCCTCAGATCCGGGCAAAGCATGGTGGAAAGGAACATGTCAACGTGAGTATGGCTGCTGAGCTGGGGAGGGGATGTGTCCAAGGTGATGATGGAGGCTTGCTAACAGTTTTGGAGGTTGAAATCTCCCATTGTATGCAGAAAAGAAAGAATTACTTGCTTTCAGAAAGATTCCCCCATCCTCTGTCTGTGAAGGAGCACTGGACCAAAGAGGGAGCAGAGTCAGGCATCATGAAGGGTTGTTTGGCTCCTGGTTTCTGCTGAGAATGTTTCTTCTGTTGGCCCAAGGGCATCTCTTGACCCGTGTATAACCAGCTTTATTATGTAAAACCAGCCATGCATGGGCATAAGTAGATCCAAATTAAAATTATGAACTGGACATGCTGGGATCTGAAGGGACTGTGAATAATACTTTTGGTAGCACTGTGCCCAATTCCTGGACTCTTTAAGATCCTGCAAGAGTATATCCAGGTTTAACAAGATGGATTTACAGCCTCACTCAACTCTGAGTGACCACTGAGGAATCAGAAGCAGCTCTGTGGAAGCCAGAAGAGTTTTACTGAGTCCTGAGAGTACAATTGACTTGGAAGGAGCCAATTACCAACAGCTGCTGAGCAGCTCCAGTTAGAGTTGTAAAATATGTGAGTTCAGCATCTCCAATTAGGAGACTCAGGAACAGGCAATATCTGCCAGTATCTTCAGAAGGTTGGGAGACAGGGTCATGCAACAGCATCTGAAAACAGCATCTGACTGTTTATCAGCATTTCCTGGGATCATCCCAGAAGAAGATGCTCCAAAAGCAAAAACTGCAGAGGGACTAACTGGGGAAGGGGCAGAATGTTCAGGTCCTCTGTATTTTTCAGGTTTTAAGATTAATCCATGGACTTTCCACTCAAGGTTCTCAAAGCACTTTGAGGACATGAAAATACTCTTCTGCCACATGACCAATGCTGAAACTGTGGTAGATCCAAGAAGGAAACACAGGAATAAGACTTAGATTTATTTTTACCTACAGTCTACAGATTGGGAGACTTAGATCTTGGTCTTAATCCTAGCTCTGCCATCAACTAATATCTCTCTACATAAAACCAAATCCAAAGTGATTTTGTCACCTCTCACACCTCATCAAATTCAGGAAAGATCTAGTGAAACTCATTCCTGGCTCTGATGTGAATCTTGACTGGCAAGATTGACTGATTATGCAATAGGAATTGGAATAGCATAGCATAGCATAGAATAGAATAGGAATTGGAATAGAATAGGAATTGGAATAGAATAGGAATTGGAATAGAATAGGAATTGGAATAGAATAAGAATTGGAATTGGAATAGAATAGGAATTGGAATTGGAATAGAATAGGAATTGGAATAGGAATAGAATAGAATAGAATAGGAATTGGAATAGGAATAGGCCAGGCCAGGCCAGGCCAGACTTTTTCAGTTGTGAGGAGCCTACAATGATCATCAAGTCCAACTGCCTGAACAATTCAGGGTCAGTCAAGTTAAAGCATGTTGTCAAGGGCATTGTCCAAATACCTTTTCAAACACTGCCAGGCTTGGGGCATCACTGCCTCTCTTGGGTACAACTGAGCATGTCCTGCACATACACTTTTGAGGGGATCCCCAGAGTGTGAGAGATGTTTGCAGCATCATGCTGAGGTTTTGAGGAATCTCTACTGTACAGAAAAAGGAAGAACTTTCTGTTTCCAGAAGGAAGCAAGGTTAGGGGAAGATGCTGATACTGGCAACCCCAGAGGCTGAGCTCCCTCAGGGGAGAGGCACAGAAGGCAAACTGCTTCACACCCCTGCTCCAGCAAAGCTTTCCTAATTCCTTCCCAGCCTTGACTGCGTGATGGATATGGGGGATGTTTTGAAGCAGTGGAGCACCAGCCTGTTTCACAGTAACCAAGGAGGTCTGTCTGTCCTCCAGCAGTAGGTAGGCTGGTGTTTCCCTGGGAGTTGTCTGCTGATCAGGAGAACTGGGGGCATGTCCATAAACTCTCCTTGTGTTGGGTTTCTTTCTCCAGAACTGTGAGGTGCAGAACAGCACAGAGATGACCTGCCAGGCTCCAGCACTGGCTGTTGACCCCAGTCACCAGTCTGAGCTTGCTGAGCGTCCAGAAGAGTTTGGCTTCATCCTTGACAACGTTCAGTCCCTGCTGATCCTCAACAAAACCAACTTCACCTACTACCCAAACCCAATCTTTGAAGTTTTTAATCCCTCAGGAATCTTGGAGCTGAAGCCAGGAAGCCCCATTATACTGAAGGTGAGATGGGGATCAACCCATAACTAAAACACAGGAACTCCTGCTGCAGCTGCCTGTGTACAGCCTCAATTTGTACCCATTGCTGTGGGTACAAATTTGTACCCACCAGAGAAGAACATTTTCTACTGCTGCAACATGGCTGGCAATTAAATACCCAAGTCTATTTTTCCCTGGGTTTTCAAGACCTTCCTTTCACCCCTGATTAAATACTGCACCAGTCCTTTGGAATTTCTATAATCTGGCCAGCAATACAGAGAAGGAATTTTATGATTGAACATTTCTACATCAGCAATTGCCTGTGGTGTATGTGCAAAGAAATGAGTTGCAGAATACCTTCCTGCATGTTTGGAAAGGCGTCTGTTTTGCTTGCCTGAGTATGTTTTGTGAGAGTCTGTTTCTGTAAGATCTGTATGCAAGGTTTCTCATTTAGTTGCAGAGGGGAGCAGGACAGACTGCTGGGACTGATGACAGTCTGTAGCCAACCCTGATGTCCTCTGCATGGCTTCCTAAATTGGCTTTTCCTCCCTGTGTTAGGAAATGGTGATTCATGAATGTCAAGTGCAATGTTAAAACTTGTGTCACAGGAACAAACAAGAGGTGGAAGGCAGACTCTTCCCTGACGTTTTGGGTTTTTTTGGGGGGGGTGATATTCCCTTCTATCCAGGGCAAGAACTTGATCCCACCAGTGGCAGGAGGGAATGCCAAGCTGAACTACACTGTTTTGGTTGGTGAGAAGCCTTGTGCAGTGACAGTATCAGATGTGCAGCTGCTGTGTGAGTCCCCAAACCTCATTGGAAGGCACAAGGTGATGGTAAGTGGTGCTTGAACCTCATCAGCCTTTCCTCCTTGGGTGGATTGGGAGGGCACATCACTGCAGAAAAGCTATCAGACCTCCCAGGAGTTTGCATCACTATTTGCCTTCCATAGATGCCATAACCATTAGAGACCCTTCTTGATATAATATCCCCACCAAGAATAACTTGGAGAAGTAGAAGACTGGAAGAGTAACCTGGAGGTATCTATGGGCAGTAAGAAACATTTCATAATAACACCCTCCAGGAAAGTTTAACTCTCTTTTGTTTTTTACAGCCTGTACAATATCCAGATGCTCATATAGGTAACATGTTCCCTACATTTCATACTTGGTTAAATTCAGCACAGTCTCCAGCAATTACTAACATGCTGGTGGCTAAAATTTACCTTTTTGTAGCAGAAAAAATATACAAGACAGGGACTCTATTGTGACCAGACTACGATGTTTTGTTAGCTGTACAACTTAGTATACTCCTGCATGTCCTTCCTGGAACCTGTAAGAAATGGACCAACTGATTACATCAGGGAGAGCTTCTCTACTCACTGTTGATTTATTCACTCTTTACTTTCCTCTCAGAGATTTGCAATCCTCAGTGTTGATGGCTTTATAAACACCACTTCAGCAAACTCATCTGAGTTGTACTGAGCTGTGTTGAAGGGCAGGTTAGATGGGGCTCTGAGAAACCTGGTCTAGTGGGAGGTGTCCCTGCCCATGCAGGGGGGTTGGATCTAGTTGATCTTGAAGGTCCCTTCCAACCCAAACCATTCTATGATTCTATTATGAGTGTTTCTTGTTCCTTGTGATCAACTTTTTTTCCACCTCTCTGTTGCCTTCCCAAAGCTCTGTCTGTCACATATTTAGGTATTTCAATGCAGTGAGACTCATAGAGGTTGATGGAGACACACTGAACTGTTCTTTAAAAAGACAGTTTTCTGGGGACTTTTATAAAATAGCTTCTGGTGACCATTTTGGGTCTCGTTTGGGACTGCTGCTGAGAGACCTCACACTGCCTACTTAACTTCTCTGTGCCAAAATTTATCATCTGGAAAATAGAGGTAATAATCCTTTTCAGCCATGCAAATAAACCGTGGCTCTCGATTCATTGTAAAGCACATTAAGACACTCCAAGAGGAGCAGTAATGAAGTGAGAGATTTTCTCTGTGTGAATTCCAAAGCTTTTGAACAAGGCAATATATGTTCCCTGTCATTTTCATGAATATAATTAAACATATGGTTAGTCAGAGATGGACAGAGCCAATCAGAGAGAGAGAAAACTCCAAGTCAGGTGAGCAATAATCAACCCCTGGGGATCAGGGAGGATGAACATCTGGTCAGCCCTTATTAATTGGGAAGACTCCCCTGCTCCTGCAGCTTGGGACAGCTTAAGTGAAGCCATAGAGGAAAAAATAATCCCTTTTTGAGGATGCTGATCAAACAAGAGATGCTGCTGAAAACATGGGAAAATCACCACATTGAAGTCTGCTAATAAGCCTAAGTATTAGGATAAGTTACAGATTTTTTGCTCAACTGCCAACACTGAGGCAACACTTTGACAGTGTCTGGGCTGGGAACCAAATACAGAAGGTCACCTGTGGTGGAGGCCAGTGTTCAAGGATGGACTTTGCATCTGGAGCTTACCAAGGGGACAGCTGGGCTGGGAAATGCCTCCTCCAGCCTGGCACAGCCTCTCTGGTGCTCGGGTTGGTGCTAAATTTGTGCCCATGTTTCACACGAATGTCACTTTGATGGTCAGGGTAATTGACAGGTAGCTCCCCCAGGTCCTCCTCCTGTTTCTGCCAATAATTTACTGTGTGACCTTGAGTAAACTGCTGAGCAAACCTTTTCTTGCAAACTGAGGTGGCCTAGATATGAGAGAGGACCATGAGAGTGAACGAATCATAACAACACAGAGATTGTTTCTAAGGGAACAGTGACAATGGCACACATTGATGTCAACATGTTTGTGCTCTAGTTCAGCTCTCTTTTATGCAGTGACAGACTGAAGTATTTGGGGGAAAAGAAAATAGAAAAGAACTAAAAGGCCTGAATGATGTTTAAAAAAATTGACTAAAAATCAGAGATAAGCTCTTTTCCAAGTAGAAGAAAGACACATGAGGAAGATGCATGAGTAACTCTGGTGGAGGTGTGCAATGAAGAAGTGGAACATATCTGAAGGGTTGCTGGTATCTCATGTAGGCACTTACATATGGGAAGACACAGGACTCCCTTTTCAGTTTCTCATTGTAGACTTGGTTACCTTTCCAGAGCCCATCCCAACACAGTATGAAAGATGCTGGTATCTCATGTAGGCACTTACATATGGAAAGACACAGGACTCCCTTTTCAGTTTCTCACTGTAGACTTTGTTACCTTTCCAGAGCCCATCCCAACCCAGTATGAAAGGACCTTGTGGATGGAAATTAGATATTTCCAGGCATCCATTTTTGTCCTGTCCAAGACATAAGGGTTACAGCTAGGTGGCTTTGGCCAGCAATAGCTTACAGCTGGTCCTAGAGATCATCTCAGAGGTTGGAACTGGAGCCAGATTAATGATGGTGGAGTCACAGAGATTCATGTCCCCAGGAAGGGCTGTGGTGGTGAGGAGTGAGAGCAGCTGGAATTAACATTTGAGCAGGCAGGCTGGGGACAGGCTGATTAACTGAGAGCTGGTGGGATGGAGGGCATGGCACCTGGAATTGTCAGGGAGAGCTCCTCATGAGGGAGGAAGGAAAAGCCTCAATTACATGCTGCAGTGGTCCCAGTTGCAGAGGAAGCTCACTGGCCTGGGGTCTTGGCTGCATTTCTGCCTGGCAACAAGACTTTGCACTTTGTGCAGGGCTTGATGTTTCTTTCCATGACAAAGCTCAGCTGGGGTGAAGGGATGAGGCTCATCATCATGTCATGATCCTTCAAGCTCTTTGCATGGCATCTTCTGAGCTTTAAGTTAATGTAAACATGACCAACAAGTTGAGGGAGGTTTCCTACCACTCTGCTCTTCTCTTCTTATGAGACTCCCCATGCAGTGCTGTGTCCAGTTCTGGGGCCTATAACACAAGAAGGACATGAAGCTCTTGGAGCAAGTCCAAAGGAGGACTGCAAAATGACCAGAGGGCTGGAGCAGCTCTGCTATCAAGACAGACTGAGAGAGTTGGTGTTGTTCAGCCTGGAGAAGAAAAGGCCCCAGGGAGACATAGAGCACCTTCCAGTACCTGAAGGGGTTACTGGAAAGCTGGGGAGGGACTTCTGACAAGGTCATCAAGTGACAGAATGAGGGGTTACAGTTTCAGACTGAAAGAGGCAAGATTTAGATGAGGTAGTAGGAACAAATTATTTCCTGCAAGGGTGGTGAGACACTGCTCCAGGTTGCCCAGAGAAGATGTGGATGCCCCATCCCTGGCAGTGTTGAAGGCCAGGTTGGATGGGGCTTTGAGCCACCTGGTCTAGTGGGAGGTGCCCCTGCCCATGGCAGGGGTTTGAAACTAGATGATGTCTGATCTCCCTTTCAACCCAAACCATTCTATGATTCTGTGGTTCAATAACCAGTGTTCCCCTACCACTGCACAGTCCTAGAAGCCTTCTTGTTATACATCAAATGAGTCAGCACTGCTTTTTTCCCTGCTTCTCCAACTCATCCTGCTCTACTCAGAGCCTTGAACAATGTTGTAGTAGCCTTGAGCAAGTAGTACCCTGAGACATCACAGTTGGGATTGGTGTTCATGTTGTAAAAATGGACTCCTAACAGATTTGCTTCTGCCAAACATTTTGTTAGGCTTGCAGCAGTGCCTCTTGAAGGGTTTCTATCTAGCTGTTCAAAGCAAGGTCCTCACACAGCAGTTTGTTCCAGAGGCTGGTAGAAGCTCTGGGAACCTCTGGGAGTGCATGGGGAACAGAAATCAGTGTTCAGCTCCCTGTGTTGCTGGTGAGCACCTGCAGGCAGCCTGCCAATGTGTGTCTAGGAGAAGGGCTGTAACAAGTATGGTGCAGGTTCTGTACCTTTTGTGTTTGGCCTTTTTTTCATATCCCAGTGGCTTCCAGAAGCAGTTTTCTCCAGCTGAAAAGCAAATTTTGACTCTGATTTGTGCATTTCCACTGTTGTCATGTTAGCTGCCTGGGTCAGGTGTCCCCTGTCCCATCATGAGGTTACGACCCATCAGATCATAACCACGAGCTGTGTCCTGTGTGCATTTTGGGACTAAGTGTTGTCAGGACAGTCCAGCATAACCTAGTTCTTCAGGATAGGGACTAGAAAATCCAGAATAAAGCCCAAACTTATATGCAGCCAGGGGGTTGGGACTGGTGAGATTTGTGTCACCACAAGCTTTGTAGTTTTTGTTCACAGTCACTCTGTCAACAGAGGCGTTTCTATATGACATTTGAGGTGATTTAAAGCTGTTCTCTATCCAAATACATCACAATCTATTTAGCTTGGTAAACAAGAGGAGGTCATAATTCAGCCTTAGTAAAGGAGATGATGGAGTTCCTCTGTGTTCCCGCTTGCTCAACAGTTTTGCTGCAGCTCTTTCCTGCTTCCCCTCTAGGCTCGTGTAGGAGGGATGGAGTTTTCTCCAGGGATGGTCTACATCTCTCCAGACAGCCCTCTCAGCTTGCCAGCTATTGTCAGCATTGCAGTGGCAGGTGGCCTGCTCATCATCTTCATCGTGGCCGTGCTGATCGCCTACAAGCGCAAATCCCGAGAGAGTGACCTCACCCTCAAACGCCTGCAGATGCAGATGGACAACCTGGAGTCCAGGGTGGCACTGGAGTGCAAAGAAGGTAGGGTGAGGAAGGAAGCCTGATGCTTTGTCAATGTGGGTAGAAGAGAGATATCCAGCCACAAAACTTTGGGCTGAAATACCACAAGGGAAAGGAGTGTTGAATCCTGTGGGTGTGGCTCAAGCCTGGATCTATTTTCACTTTGCCTGTTTCCCTGAGATCAGCCTTCCTCCACCCTGTCCTAACTGCATTTGCTAGCTCACAGTCCAGAGAGATCCTTGGCACATGTCTCAGGGGAAAGACTGTGTTAGAGGAAAGGTGAGACGGTTCTTGTCCACTTTCTTCATCTCAACGTGTTGCTTCTCCACTTGTACCTCAGACTCAGGCATGTAGGTCTGAGGGCCTTTCCCATCATGGTGAGGGAGATCTGGACTGTCAGTGCTACATGGGTCATCCCTTTGTTTTGTGTCAGCCTTTGCAGAGTTGCAGACAGATATTCATGAGCTGACAAGTGATCTGGATGGAGCTGGGATCCCTTTCCTTGATTACCGAACCTACACCATGAGGGTGCTTTTCCCTGGCATTGAAGACCACCCAGTCCTGAGAGATCTGGAGGTAAGAAATCAACATTGCTCCTCTCATGCCTCCCTGTTCTGCCCTGAATACAAGAGATGCAGTAGTAGTGGTGGGGATGTGATGGGTTACAATGATTCAGCAATGAAAATCAGCACCTGATTAAAAATCCAGGTTGAAAGGGGAAAATAATTGCTGCTGTCTTAGATGTTAAATTCTGTTTGACCATTCATGTGTTTGGAAGAGCCTCATAGCTTTGTGTGCTTTAGTTCTACTGTATTAAACTTCTCCTTGGTCTTCATCCTGCTGGGTTTTGGTTTTTAGATTGGATTTATGAATTACTGCTGTGCAGGGACTAGGAACCAAAAAAACCTGGATGGCAGAGCAGCATATTTGCCTGTGTCATTCCAGCTCTGCATGACATTCACCCTTTTTTTGTGGCAACACCTGTAGAAATAACCTGCAGTCACTGAAGGAGTTTCACCTTTGCTGCACTCTGTGGTTTTCAGTGAGGGCAGAAAACCACAGCATCAGTTTGTCCACATCCTGCCCACATCTGCCTCCTCCATCCCAGCTCTCCTGACTGCAGCAGTGGGAGGACAACAAGATGCTGCCCAGCACTGTTGGGGTCTGCAGGCTACCTGCCTTGCCTCACTGTGAGAATGAGTTTGATGGGACACTAGGTGAGATCTGATCATGCTGCAAAACTGCTTCAGGCTTTGGCAGCTGGATGAGCTCTGCTCTTGGGACACCTGGGCCAGAGAAGCAGGGGATACACCATGGCCAAGGCAAGGGAGGTCATTGGCTGAGATCTCTGCAAAGCCCTTGGCAAGCTCTCAGCTTCAGAGAGGTTCTGGCACTGGCTGGTGAGATTGCTGGGGGCCAAGACTGGGGTTAGTTGGCAGAAAGAAGGAGCAGGAGCTGGCACAGGCAACACCATGTTTGGCTGGCTGTGTAATCAGAACTGCCTGCTTGTCTGTGGTGCTTCAGAAGAGCCAAAATTCATCAAACTACATGGAGAAAACCATTACAAAAACTTGATCTGTCAGCAAGCAGGACATGTGGGGTTGGGTAGGAGGCTGATTTACACGTTGCCTCCTGTATTTATTTGCCTTGTGGGTGCAGGTACAGGGGCCTGGAGCTGCTTTCCCTCAGGAAGAGGAGCTCAGCAGCTTCACCAAATGAGCACAAGGGATGAGGGGTGATGAATCTCTCTCTCATGTATGTGTACACACACACACAAACCCTTTCATCATACCCAGAGACAATCTGAATCCCAATATTCATTAACCTCAGCCAGCTGACCACAGAACAGCATCTGACCCCTATGGAGGTTTTAGCATGGATGCTCCCATATGTAGATACACAGAGAGAGGCACGGGGGCTGATGTTTCCATCTGCCACCTTTGATCTCTTCTTCCTTTCATTGCATTAATCTTTTCATTATTTTTCCCTTAATCCTCTGTAAAGCCTCAACAGCTCTTTCAGTGTCAATGTCTCTGGCTACCAACATATCAGGGAAAGCAGTTCCCATTCTGCTCCCTTCTCTGTAGCACCAAGAAGGATTTGCTATTTATTGCAAAAAGGCCCTAGCATAGATCCTGCAGTGAGCAGGTCTTACTTATTTCCAGTTCATTTGCTAATTAACTGCTTCTAGATTCAGTACAGAATGCTTTTCTTGTTATTTATTTATTTTTTTTTAATTCTCCATAATAATCCAGGGTTAGACAATATTAATATTCAAGCAAATGAGTTTAAAATAATTATTGGTGGGATGGGAGGTAGTGGTTGGTTGGTTGTCTCAAGCTATTTGCTAAGTAATTAATTTGCTGCATGCAAGAAGAGTTAAATGCTTTAATTTCCAGAATGAAAAAGTAATGACTCTTTAAGAAGTCTTGCATTTCTTGGTTGTCTAAACGTGCCAACTTCTTTTGGATTAAAGTACCAAAACTGGTTGGTTATTAATACATACATGCCTCAGTGACATGTATTGCTCTGTGTTGACAGTCTCCTTTCTCCAGGAAAGATTTTTAATGGCTGGAACAGATTTAGAACATGGAGGAATGAGTTTTGGGTGCTCTATTTAGGCTCTGTCTTCATCTAGAGCCAGAAGGACTCTGGTAAAAGGCCACTTTGGACTGTGGAGTCCAGGGTCCAGTGTTGAGACCCTGTATAAAAACTAGTTCACTAGCATCTCACAGCTGAGAAATATCTTAAGAGATTTATTATCCTGTCTGTCTCCAAATCATCTCACTTCCCAAGCCTGCTGCAGTGGGACCTTTAAGACAGGTCTCAGCACAGGGTGTCCTCTCACAACTTCATCTATCTAATTCTTCAAACCAAGGCCCAGCTGCCTGGGAACCATCTCAGCCACTGCCTCTCTTCATCTCCTCAAAACCTGAACCCAGGATCTCTTCCCCATTCAATTCCACTCTGCCTCTCTCACCTTCTTAAAGCTGAACTCCAAAACCCTCTGTAAGGAGGCTTCTTGCAGGGATGAAAAAAACCCACATTTTAGATGGAGTGAGACTTCAGTCTGACTACAATAACAATGTAACATGGGGTGGTACCACATCTAGGCACCAATAATCACTTTTTTATGTATTCTTCAGAGAGGGAAACAGGATTGGAAAAGAGTCATCTGGCTGTGGCTAGGAGGTCCCTCAGGGTTCCTAATCATTAGATAGCTCATGGAGTCTCTTCCTTTTTACAGGACTATTCTGTGATGAAGAAGGAAGGATTCACCTGCCTGCTAAATGCAAGATTTTTTAATATTTTTTTTTTGTCTTTGCTGTTTGAAGCAGCTTTTTTTTTTTCCTTTTTCCCTGTTTCAGAAATTGCCCTTGATGTCCAAATGCATAGTTGGTGAGCTGGAGTGATGAGGGCTGAGAAGGCAGCAAAGGTCGTGTGATCCATTTGGGAAAGTCTGACAGTGGGAACGAGGGAAAGATTTACATTTCCTTTCTTCTGGTGCAGGTCCCTGGCTATAGGCAGGAACGGGTGGAGAAAGGCCTGAAGCTCTTCGCCCAACTCATCAACAACAAGGTTTTCCTCCTGTCTTTCATCCGCACACTGGAGTCCCAGCGCAGCTTCTCCATGAGGGACCGTGGCAATGTGGCCTCACTGATCATGACTGTGCTGCAGAGCAAGCTGGAGTATGCTACTGATGTCCTCAAACAGCTCTTGGCTGACCTCATAGACAAAAATCTGGAGAGCAAGAACCATCCCAAGCTGCTGCTCCGGAGGTAAGGATGATTGGGGCTGGAGTGAGTTGGGCTGGGCAGCCTGTGTCCCACTGCCTGACAGGAGCATGCTGGTCATCTTTGGAGAAAAGGGGCAAACGTGCTTGGGTTTGGTGAAGCAGGGTGTGGAATGAGGAGGGTATCCAGCCACAGTTCACATGACCCCGTAAGGTTGGCATCAAGCTGTTTGCAAAGAAGTTTGAATCACAGAATTATAGAATGTGCTGGGTTGGAAAGGACCTCCAAAGCTCATCTATTCCAACTCCCTTACAATAACCAGGGACATCTCCAATGGTAGGGCTGAGTGAAGACTGAATTGGTCTCCCTTTCTGGTTACCTGCTGATTTAAGACTTCCTGACAGAACATGCCTTCTTGTAGAGAACTTCCCTCCTCCTCCCACCACTGAAACTTCATTTCCTTCCCTTGTCGTAAGTCTGTGTGTAGATCTTGCTCCATCTCCCTGGCCAAAAAGTAGTCAATGATTAAAAGTCACATAAATAAGCTACCTCTGGATTTTAATGTGGGTCTTCTAGAAAGCTTTGTAAGGGCAGCAAGGGCCTGAGCTTCCTAATCCTTACTTTGAACTCTGTGTGCTTGAGATGTTCATTTATGTTTCGTTTTAACCTGAACATTCCAGCTGCTTTGTGTAGGGCCTGGAACTACATCACACACAGCAGGCTTTTATATCCCTGGTGAGTCAGTCATCTGCTGCTGTCTCCTGCCTGGGATGTGAACTGCCCTGCTTTGTGTCTCATTCATGAGTTAACTTCAGATACGTGAAGAGTTTTCTTCAGCTTCATTGTGGGATCTCCTCTCTCTCCCTGAGCAGTGGTGCTGAGACCTTGCTGAAGATGGGAGAAGACGTGAGCAGGACAACAGAACTGGTTTCATGCAGGGCACAGATTTAGTTGTTGCTTCCTGCCCATTTCTATGGTCTAAACTCTGCAATTCTGTGGGAACCCTTGGATTAGAAATCAACTGCTCTGCAATGAATGTGCTTTGCCTGCCCAGGGAAATGTTGTCCCTTCTCCTTTTAGGATCATATTCACCTTCTTTGCACAGTCTGAACTAATCCTTCTGAATCAAGGACCCTAAGTAAAACTGGACCTGGAGGGGAGAACTTCTGGAGCTGTGTGGCCTTTGCCACTGCTCAGATCCAACTCTGAGGAGCCCTCAGCTGATTAGGATGGACAGCTTGGGCAGGGAAGACATCTCTGGTGCCTTCTGGAAGGCTTTTCTTCCAGCATACAGCCCACTGTGGAGAACCAATGAAAAAAAAAAGAAGCAAAAGGCACTTCCTGGCATTCAGAGCAGCAATGCCAGGGGCAGAGACTGGACTTTGATTTGGTGTCATTTGACTCCCTGATGTGATGTAAGCCTTATAGCCAGGCTGGTGACCTCCCTCCAGCTGTCCCCAGGCTTCCCCACTGAACTTCTTCTCTGATGCTGAGGCACTGCCTCCTTCCAGCTGTCTCCTCCCTTAATTTTCTCCTTTTTCTTCCCCTTTCTCCATCTCTCTGTCTTCCTTGATTGTTCATTCCTGTCTTGTCCTGAGCATCCTTCTTTCCTCTTTCTCCTTCTTCCAGCTCTTTTCTAGCTCTAGCTATATTTGTTGGAAATGAAATATGGCCTTTGGAAGGAAAGCCAGTGAACAAAGAAGGTACTTCCACTATTCCAAGCTACAAAAACATAAGAAGTCAGAGATGTGGTTTGTGCCTTGAGATGGAGATCCTGCATCAAGTATCACCAGAACATAGCCTACTGCTGAACTTGTGGATAGCTCAGTACCTTGGGTCAGATGTTGGTCTGAGGCCCTTATACAATTATTTGGAGCAGCTGGATTCAACTTGGTGCTCCCACCCCCTCCCTGTGAGTCTATGGAAGGAAGGGAATTTTTCAACACCTTTCTGCAGTGTTGGTTTTTAGGGTATTTGACTGGAGGAAGGAGCTGGATGGAATGATTTTCCCACCTCACTTGTGTCTAGTGTTCATCCCATATGATGTCTACAGCCTCAAAGAGATCAGAGTTGTCAGGGTAGAGAGGAATAACACAATGAGATTCCAATATTTTTTTTTCTCACAGTCATGTTAAGTTTGCAGCATGTGATGGGTTCCAGGTGTCACCTCAGGGATCTTGGAAGGAGCACTCTTCTGGGTGTCATTCCTTGTGAGGAACTGAGACCATGACAAGCATGGGGATTACTGGAATTAAGCATCATATCATGACCAATAGAGGACAGCAGCTAGGTGATGCTGATGGAAGGAAATACAGGGCAAACAGGAAGGTATGGACAGAGGCAACCTCTAGGCAGAGACCCAGCAATGATCACTGTAGACAAAGGGTTTGTTTGCTACCACAGCATTATTGTGGCAGCAAACTGGGACCACATCACCTCTTGCTTAGTTTGCAGGCAAGAAAGGAGTGACAGAAGACAGCCCTATTATCATTCCTCACCATCCCTACCATCTAAGTGAGATTTGCCCACAAGATGGGAGAAGTTCCAATGGAAACCAGGCTAAAGATCAGCTGCATTTAGCTCAGAAAAGGACCATCACTTGCTCTGTGTTGGTGTAACAGCCTCCAGGCTGTTGGCTGGTTCCATACATATAACTCCAGCTGTGCAAACCCTTCCCTTGCAAGTCTCCAGGGGAATTAAGATCAACATTAGGCTGAAGGTGTCAGGAAAGTTAAGGTGCAGTTCTAAGCAAGAACCCCTGCATGGCTGAGGTGATTACTGGGACTAGGAAGACCAACTTTAATTCATCCAGGCAGGAACACTTGTTTTGTTCTTTAGCATCACCAGTGTATATACTGGAGCCAACAAAGTTTCATCGTGTGCTTCTAGTTTCCACATCACATTTATGGGTCTGATTCAGTCCTATAGAAAAGGTCACCCTGAAGATTCAGGATGGCTTTTTGTCTAGTTGAGGACCATGTTCAAGGGCAAAAGGATGAGCTCTGTGAATGCACCACATTTAAGAAGTGTAATCACTCCCAAATACCAGGGATATAGTCAGTGCTATAAAACTACTATCTGGTGATTTAAATCTGTCTGTCTTAAGTATTTATATAGACTACTTGTCATATGGCCTAACTTGGAGCTCCTCATATTTGACGGATTTCTCCTCCCTGAGCTCCTCTGAAAAGGTTCCCTCAAATGTTGTTGTTCCCCTTTCACTGATGGAGAAACTGAGAAACAGACACAAAGGGATGAAACACAGGAGAATCAACAGGGCAGTAGGGATTTACCTGCAGGTTTCTTGAATACAAAGATAAACCAGAGAACATGGGATGTGCTTAGTCCTGAGGGTATCATGTCAGACTTTCTATGGGGCTCAGAGATCCTTGCAGGAAGATGCACAAAGCCAATCTTTTGACTTGCCCTTTGATACAACCAGCATGAATAACTCATTTCCAATTTGATTTTTTTCTCCTTGTCTGATTTTAGGACAGAATCTGTGGCTGAGAAAATGCTCACCAACTGGTTCACCTTCCTTCTGTACAAGTTTCTCAAGGTAAGAGGAGCATCATGCCCGGACGAGCAATTTCTTCTTGGTGACATTTGGTTAGGGCAAAAGACTTCCCAGTTATGAAGAAAAATGCTTTTTTTTGCTTGTTTGTGTTTTTTTTTGGTTGGTTGGTTGGTTTGTTTCTCTAGAGGGAGCTCACTGTTTAATAGGAGAGGGGTTGTTTTCTGATTCATGGAGATCAAAGAGAACACTTTTTTAGAGAGGCAGCCTGTTGGTCTCACTCCTGTACAGAGGTGGGATCAAAGGTTCAGTGCTGAAATGTGAAGGATTTCAGAGGCTGATGGAGACCTGCATGGAAAACACTCTGTTATGTAGCAGACTCAGATCTCCATCATGTGGTGACCTTTCAGTGCATAGTGGCTGAAGATCTCCTTCCACCCCAGTTCAGAGGCAATACTGAGGCCCAGTGCCTCCATCTTATCCAGTACCTCCTCTACTTTATGGAGACCATAACCAGATCCCTGCTTACTTTAATTTAGGCCTGAGCCCAAGGTCTTCTTGGCATTAGTCTGTCTCCAGCCTGCCCTTTGCATGGCCATGCACCCTCTGAGTACTGAGGGCTGGACACCATACACCATGTAAAAGTGACTCCTGTTTCCAGAACCCAACACTGGCTGAGGTTGCTGCTTTGTATCCCAGTGACAGCATGAGCTTTGTAGGACACTGGTCAACAAAGGAGTGAAAGGACTTGAGATACCCCTGAGCCCTCCTGTTCCTCCTGGACAGTCTCCTTGGGGTGATGTGCAGTAAAAAAATTAGTCTTTTGGCCTTTGAGACCTGCCACTGGCTGCTGGGTGATGGCAGTTTCTTCTTAGGGACCTACATGGAGCCTCAAGCATGCAAATTACCAAGACACCAAACTCAGAGCCAGTCTTTGTGGTAGAATCTGGGCTTTGTACCCCTCTCCCCACTCCTAGCTGCTAAATCATAGAATCTTAGAATCATTAAGGTTGGAAAGGACCTTAAAGATCATCCAGTTCCAACCCCCCTGCCATGAGCAAGGAACCACTAGACCAGGTTGCACAAAACCTTGTCCAACTTGGCCTTAAAAACCTCCCGGGATGGGGAATGAACAACCTCCCTGGGCAACCCATTCCAGCTCCTCACCAACCTTAGAGTGAAGAATTTCTTCCTCATATCTAACCTAAATCTCCCCTATGTTAGTTTAAAACCATCACCCCTTGTCCTATCACTATTTCTCTGATGAAAAGCCCCTCCCCAGCTTTCCTGTAGGCCCCTTTCAAGTACTGGAAAGCTGCTATAAGGTCTCCCCAGCCCTTGGTGGCCCTTCTCTGGCCCATCTCCAACAGGTCTGTATCTTTCTTGTGCTGGGGGCCCCAGAACTGTACACAGCACTCCAGGTGGGGTCTGACCAGAGCAGAGCAGAGGGGCAGAATCACCTCCCTGGCCCTGCTGGCCACATTTCTTTGCATGCAGCCCAGGATGCAGTTGCTCTCTGGGCTCCAGCTCACACTGACAGCCCATGTCTGCTTCTCATCAACTACCACCTCCAAGGATAAATAGAATTATAGAATCATAGAATTGTTTTATTAAAAAAAAAAAGATCTTTGAGATCATCAAGTCCAACTGTAAAGCCAGCACTGCCAAATCCACCACTAAACCATGTCCCTCAGCACCACATCTACACGGCTTTTAAATCCCTCCAGGGATGGTGACTTCACCACTTCCCTGGGCAGCCTGTTCCAAGACCTGACAACCCTTTAGGTAAAGAAAGATTTCCTAATATCTAATCTAAACCTCCCCTGGCACAACCGGAGGGCATTTCTTCACGGATGGTGCATGGGAAAGTTTTGAAGGTCCCTGGAAGGTAATTTCAGTGACTTCAGTATCAGATTCCTGCTTTCAACTGACAGAAAAGGATATAAGGAGGTGACTCTCCAAAGCACTGCTTTTATAATAGTTTTTTTTCACCCCACTCAGCTACTTGTCTTCTTGCCTTAGCCTGAACAGAGGCCTGATAAGGGCAAGAGACAGGCACAGAGAGGCAATAAGCTGCTGGCAGATAAGCTAATTAAGTGGGAGACAGGTGTAGGAACTGAGAAAGGGGTTACTTTGCTTCAGATTATCAACTTGTTTTTGCTGGGATTTACACCAGAGGAAAATGACCTTGCTCATTGACTTGGGACCCACTGCAAGAGGAAAGGGCAAGGTGGGGAGCAGGAGGGGAAGGCAGCAAATAGAAGGAAGCATAAGGATGGGTGCATGGCAAGGAATGTGGGAGGGAGGACAGCAAGGGAGTAGAGGTCAGGAGAAGTGTGGGAAGAGGAATGCAATGAGTGTGAATGATGTGAAGGAAAAATGAAGGAGACGGGTGCTTTGCTGGCCCTGCCTGTGGGCTGCTTGTTGCTGCCCTGAGCATCTGGCATCATGGATGCAACCATACAGATGCAGGGGTACATCTTCCCTGTGTCATGGAGCTGCTCCTGAGCATCCCTATATGCATCCAGCATGTGAGTGCTCAGGGAGATTGTGGACTCTGCTGAGACACTCATGACAGGGCACCAACAGTCCATATCCCTTTCAGACCTGTCTCCAGGTTCTCCAGGACCCATCATTACATGTTTCAGTGCAAAGCTCTGGCCTGGTGGCAATTATCTGAACAGCTCCTACAAGCCTCTGATACTACCCAGCACTACCAGGGTGCACGGACACCTTCATCTCATGGTGGAACACTCAGAAGTGCTAGTTGGAAATGGAGGGTCAAGTCTGTTCCTGGGCTGTACAGAACAGACTGATCCCACTGGTGCATCTGCCTTGAGTGGCTGAGGATGGCAAGATGTGGCAGCCATTGAGATGCTACACAGGTTGGGTTTTCCCCTCTGCTCCTGTTATTTCACCTCATGGTTGTCTCTCACCCCTGCAGGAGTGTGCTGGTGAACCTCTGTTCTCCCTCTTCTGTGCCATCAAGCAGCAGATGGAAAAGGGTCCCATTGACTCCATCACTGGGGAGGCCCGGTACTCACTGAGTGAGGACAAGCTCATCCGGCAGCAGATCGATTACAAGACACTGGTGAGTGCTCTGAGCAGGTGCTGTGGGCTTGTCCAGCCTCTTCTAGCAAAAGGGGATTTAGAGAAAATAGGTCAATGATGGACATGCTGACCCTCTTGGACAATTCTTGCAATCCAGACAGGTAACCCTGTTGAAGACTGACTAACACATCCCTGACACAGCAAGGTTTGTGGCTCAAGCCTCTGCTAGAAGAGCATGCTTGAAAAGACAGATGGTTCCAAGTGACTTCCATTCTGTCCTGCTCCATCCCCAGAGCATCTCCAGCTCCCTGGAGGCTTTGCGTGTTCTGTGAAATCATCTGCACTCATTGCAAGGTGGGCTGGCAGTCCCAGTCCTTCACCATTGCTTGGTTTAGGTGAGGTCCAGGAGCATTTAGAAGATGAGTGTGAACCTTGTGTCATAAATATGCAATTTACTCTGTTTTGTCAGACAAAATGCTTCCTTTTCCCTGGAGTGATGCCCAGCCTTCCAGCACTTCCAAGACCTAAAGTCAAAGGTACCCCTCTTCCTACAGCAGAAAGGTGAAGTTGGCACTGCAAATTCTTCCCCTGTAGGAGTGTGAAATTCATGGTGGGGCTTCTGCCTCTTGGATCCCTTCAGGGTATCTTCCTTCTCCTTTTTCCCATCACCTGCTCCTTTCTCCCTGGTCCCCAGCACCAGTGGTAGAGCTGCCCAGATCCAGCCCAAGCATACAAAAGGCTGGTGGCTGACCAGGGTGGCAGCTTTTGGCCATGTGGGTTGTCCCCAGTGCTGAGCTTGGGCAAGTTGGGACAGTCTTTGGCCATGGGACACCTGTGATCAGAGGGACACCGAGCTTATGGCATGGCAAGCCCAGAGCCATCCTGACACCCTGTGGTGCTGGATCAGTGCAAAGCCCATGACATTCTGCTAGTGACAGCAGAAATATTTTTTATGAGGCTTTGTTGCAAGGATCTTCTCTAAAATAATCCTCATCAGTAAAATCAATCAATCAATCAGTTTCTCCAATGAAGATTTCAGTGTCAAAGAATATGTTAGAGTCTCAAATTGGAGAAGCATATTAGATCTTCTTGAGAGCTAATGTATCCATTCTTCTTGAGCAAGGAGAATTCAAAAAAGGCTCTTTAATTCAAGATTTCAAGGGAAAGAAGATTAATTCCTGGCACTGAGTAATTTGCTTCAAAACACAATTGTCTGCATGGTGAAAGATACACGTTGCAAGTGTCCAGCCTTAGCTTCTACATGGATTACATCCTTTTCCCACTTGATTAAAGAGCATCAATTAAAGAGCTTTAGATATTGCTTCTTGTTGCAACTGTTTGTGAGCCTTCACTTTTTCCTGGACACACCAAGTTCACTGAGTCTCTGCAGGAAGGAAAACACTTTCAAAGGCTTCAGTGATCTTTGCAATTTCTTTATTTCCCATGTCTTTGTTCTCAAAAGACCCCAACCCCAAATTTAGGATGATCAGAAGATCCTCTGGTTATTTTATTTGCACCTTCAACTCAGGGACATTAATCTTATTTAACTTTAGCTGGCTTTGAAAGCTGTGTCCAGTTAATGTTAGCTCCTTGACCTGTCTTAGATCTTAGCTCAGGTGGGCTGATACTAGAAATGTCTGGTTTTCTTCTGTTAGTACAGACAGTCTAGAGCTGAGCTTTGACAGAATCCACGTCTGACGAGGGTGCAGACTTTATTCTTGAATAAACCCATGGTTTTGCATATTAAAAACGTGACTTCCCTATTAAATCAGCAGCAAAGTGCTGATTTTCTCTTACGTGTGGTTGTCTAGCAATTTGGAGGCCTGATCTCACATGGAGAGAGTGAGCAAAAGGAAGAAAAACGCAGACACGGAGCGATTGCTTTCATCGGAGGAAATCCCTCCGATCCTTTTAGGCTTGATATAAAGCAGCCAGCAAAGGGTAGTAATTATACACCAGCCTGAACAAAGCTCTCCTCCATTCACTTTGTGTCGTTTGATGTTAATCAGCTCTGCCTCTTACATCTCAAGAGCAGACAAATATATCCCGATAGGAATCTCAGCAGATTTACAGAGATCAGCTTCGGTGAAGGAGATTAAGAAGCAGCAGAATTTGAGTAGGAGTGTTCTTCCTTTCTCTTTGTTTCTGTTTTATTTTCTTCATCCTCTACCTTCCTTAGACAGTCTGTCACCTTTTATTAAAAATATATAGTAATGAAATAAAGCAATAACTAATTCTGTATTTGTAACATAGGAACTCCCTGAATGTTTCCTGCTCTCTACCATTGGGTTGTTCATGTTTCATGAGTGCTCATTGGCTGCTTGATTGAGTTAAATCACAATTCCAGCAGTGTGGCACATGGAAACAGGCAGTTTCATGTCATTTTTTTTCCAGGAAGACAAGGCTTCTTTTAGAAGGCATTTATTCTTTAGCTTTCATTAGTCATGATCAAATATTTGCCATCATGGTTTCAAATATGGTTTGAGTGAGAAGCAGATCCAAAGAAATTGACTTATCCAGGAAAAAAAAAAAAGAAGACAGAGCACTGTAATTACTGATTTCACAATATACACCTCATTTACTGAATCTAGATTGTTTCAGTTTGATTTCCTTCCAGACCAGATAGCTCCAATTTGCTGTCTGCCAGGTCCTCCAGTTCTCCAAAGAAGCCTCAAAGTCCTAGGGTCTTTGCAATCTGTAACCATATCTGTATTTACAAGGGATTTTTCCCTTGTGCAGTAGAAAATGAAGCTGGTTACAGATGTGATTTGCTAGAACAAATGTGCTGCAACTGAACAGTAGGTTATCTCCCAAGCCATGTATCTCAGAGAAACACCCTCTTGTGTTATTGTCTTTGCTAGCAGTCAGTGCTCATCACCTCTGGTCTTCAGTGTTATTAAAAACCCAGCAAGATTATTCCATCTATGAGAGAGATGAAGATCTCATCCCTGCTGACTGTCACCTGACTTTGCCAGAATCCATGATTTTTCAGACATTCACCAAACCAGAGTCCAGATGCAAAACCTTGATCCCTACTGCCACTACTTTGCTGGCACTGGGAGATGAAAGACCTTTGATCTCCTGTGTCAGCTTCATTATCTGGTACAAATGATGCAGGGGAGGAAGACTTCAACGTGTGTCAAGAGCATTGGCCAACAAGTGCTTGGGGGTGGTAGGCAGGAGCTGTCCAGTACAGCTTGAGCAGGAACATGCTCTGCATGGCCCTTGCACATCTCAGCAGATCCAGAGCTAAGAGTCTCATGGGATCATCTCTCCTTACAACATATTCCAGATGGTTAAAGATGCTTTGAGCTGCCTTTGGTTAAGGCTTTTCAGGGAATTTTGGTGGCAGGGAGTGAGCCACTACCAAGTTATAAAGGGTCTTCTATGCTTGGCCTCTTTTGGGGTCCTTCTCCTCCTCACTCCCTGCCAAGCCTAGCAGTGTGCTAGTCATCCTGGACCTTCCTTTGCCTGATCTAGAAGGGAGAGCAAGGTGTCTGTCCCCGGCATAGAAACAGTAGCAATGCCTTGGTCTCAGGGCAGACCACTTGAATGCTGCAGAGAACTCAGAGCCAGGGTCCTTGCATGAATAATCACAACATGTGCCTTTATTATTTTAACTCAAAAAATCCATAATGCAGAGCAGGGTTTAGCTGTGCTGAGCATTGTATGTATGTACCCACTTAGAGACAGGTCATGGCTGGATGGGCTGGTACACACAAAAAAGCCCAAGGATGTAGAAAAAGGTCAATAAACACTAATCCAGTGACATGACATGCCTCAAGGTCTCATACAGTCAGTGGGAGAGCAGGGCTCAGACATTGCTGCTTTGCTCACTCCCAGGTCCATACCTCTCCAGTTAGACCCCACAACTGGCACTGTCCTTAGGCTATGCTGACACAGACCTCAACGTATGACAAAACAATGGTGACAAGTGCTGGTGTTCTCTCAGTGGCAAATCATTCAGCACATCCTTGAGTGACCCTGAAATCTCCTCTCCCCTTCATCCACCTTGTTAGCTCTTTCCCACAGGGCTCAAAGGCAGGTAGTGGGTGAATGCATTCAGAAATCAACATCCCAAAGCTTCCCTCAGAGTGACTGATCATGCAGGAGTACAACACAAACCACCTCAGGGGTCTCTTCCCCACAGCCTGACATCAAAGACTGTATTGACATAGGTAGGTAGCACTGCAGGAGCAATGGGATTTGTTCTGACTTACATTGGTTGTTTTCTGGACAACCCTGAGTGAAGCACAAGACAAACCTTACTCTTCCAGTGAGACCAGAGCATCTGAGCTCTGCTAGATGGATAAAGCCAATGCTCTTATTTTTCATCCTGGTCACCTCCTGCTAGGGACAATCTTTATAAAGCTAAGCAGAGAACTGAAGAAACCCTTGGGAAGATTTCCAAGGAAGTGGTAGGAATCTCTCAATTGCAGACACCTTCTTATGACTAGATGCTTCAGGCTGTTGGAGCAGAGCTTTTCAATCTGTGATGCAATGATGGTTTCTATAGGGTCCATGACAATCTCCAATGAAGAGCCATTCAATGTGTGCAATACACAGGTGCAGTCTGTGAAATTCCTGAAGTCTTTATACTGAGAAATTAACTTTTCTGTGTGTTCCACAAGCAAACAGTTGGAAAACATCAACTGAGTGTAGGTGTGAAGCAAACCTGGGGCATGTACATCAAAGCCACTCTGCTCTGGGAAGGGTGCTGGTTTCTCTAAGCATTGCTTGAATTCCCTAAAATGTTGCAAGGAACATCTTGGCTGTCACTGAAATGAACACACTGGAGTTCAGGGGTTTAAAGTACTATTACCTGCCTCCATCTAGGCTTGAGAACACTAAGAGACCTCTATCAGCACAGCTCTTGGAAACATTGTCTTCCCTGCTCCTGCTTCCAACTAAGCTGGAAAAGAGGAGAGCAAGGACTACTGTAGCCAGGGCATGAATGATGGCAGCTCACACAGAAAGAGTCTTTCTGCCAAGTTCCAAAGTTGGAACCCTGTGAAATTCAAGAACAACCAAATGATAAGAGCAAACCACCTTTGTCAGCCTCCAGCAGGACAATGCTCCACATTGCATGATGGGTGCTGGTGTGGTGGGCACTGATCAGCACCCGCAGGAGATGTTGGCCCTTCTGAACCAGCCTCTAGATGCCTAGCAGGGTAGCCCAGATTATTCTAATGATCACTAAGTGCCTTTATGTGGGGAACTAACCCCCAGGTGTTTGCATTGCAGCTGATTCACACCACACAGCTTGCTCAGTTCACCTCAGTTGAGCTCAGATCATAGACACCTTGGTCTGCAGAACCATGTGTGATCTCCATAACACTTCAAAAATCTGTCCTAACCTGCTGCCACTGCTTCATTTCCCTAC